GCCATCCCTTCCCAATGAGCCATCCCTTCCCAATGATCCATTGATTCCCAATGAGCCATTGATTCCCTATAATCCATCCCTTCCCAATAAGCCATCCCTTCCCAATAAGCTATCCCTTCCAAATAAGCCATCCCTTCCCAATAAGCCATCCCTTTCCAATGAGCCATCCCTTCCCAATAAGCCATCCCTTCCCAATAAGCCATCCCTTCCCAATAAGCCATCCCTTCCCAATAAGCCATCCCTTTCCAATGAGCCATCCCTTCCCAATGAGCCATCCCTTCCAAAGAAGCCATCCCTTCCCAATGATCCACAGAGATTTCTTTCCCTTTTCCCATACCTAAAATGATCAGATTAATTGATTGAGTAGAAAATAAAGAAAAGAAAACAAATTAAAGTTTACTAAGCGCACTACAAGATTACAAAGTTGTTAAACTTTTGTCCGCGAATGTAAATGACTGGAGAGAAATGAGTTCTATTTTTGGGTGAATGGAAAAGAGACACGCATCTCATTCGAATTTCCGGCTTTCCCCTAGAAAAGAAAAGGGAAAAGAACCAAAATTTTTCATCAAATTCATACTTTATCCATTTTATCGTCTAGAATTTCGAAATCTCCTCTATTAGTCTATTTATTCACCCTTTGCCCGCTAACTATTGTTTTACCGTGAGCAAACAAGAGACAAACAAGGAGACATCGCTTCTTTTTCCCCCCAACCAGGCAGCTTATTTGTGTAGTCTGATTTCCACTAGACTTTACCCAATGAAAAGTTTAGGGTTTTATGGGGAAAATTAGAGATTGTGCTTTATTTAAATCATATTTTTCTTTCCATTGTCTTGTTTTTCTTTTCCGCGTTTATTTCAAAAACATTTCTCGATTTTGCAAAAAAAATTTTGATCAATTTTTCCCGATTCAATTTCAATTTTCTCTTCTATGAGCCTTTTAGCTTCCTTGAAAGCCCATTTCATGAGATATTCTCCATTTCCAACTCCATCTCCAACCACTTCCACTTCTTATGTCGACAATTTCACGAAAGATGACTATTTGAGATATTCCCGTCATATGAAAAGACGGGTCACTTTCTGGGGAAATCACGAGGTTTTTGGAAGATTTTTTTATTAATGAGCCGTCGATTGGTCCCGTCGATTGGCCTAGAAATCGATAGAGTAAGCCTGTACAAGATCAGCCGTGAGCACCTGGTTCCCCTGAAGTACCTGATCTAAAATCAAGACATAAGCCTGTACAAGATCAGCCGTGAGCACTGACCTGGTTCCCCTGAAGTACCTGATCTAAAGGACATAACCCTGGCTTATATCTGTCGTAGCCGTTTACGAAAAAAGAAACGATGTCTCTTTAGAAGGGATGTCATTTTGCGAAAATTGTTGTTGACCGGTTCAAACTGATAAATGCTAAAGATTAAGGATTAAAATTAATATAACTAACTAGCTTTTGCTGCAAAACTCCATTCTTGGTGCTAATCTGATAAAAACCGTTCTCCGAAGGCATCCAAAAAAAGACGAGTGGCCGATTTTAAGTCGATCAACAGCATCGATTGGGAGACGAACAGTCATTCCAACTTCAACTGGCCCACTTGCCCAACTTTAGCTTATCCGCTTCAACCTAGGTCGTCATTAGTAGATAAACATTTCATTCGTAAATTGCTAAATTTCGTAAACGGCTACGACACATACATAGCTGGATTAGGTACTTTATGTACAAGACATGTAGGCCAAGACCGCTCCAGTAAGTTTCACCTCTAAGCCTGTAAACCAGAGTGCCTGATCTAGGCTAGACACAAGCCTGACTTCTGGCTTGGTCAAAACCTTCTTGTGCCAGGCAAGGTGACAGAGTCGGTACAGTAAGTCTCCTCAATCCATTACCAAATCAATTTTCAGTCCTCAAACACGACGCCCGTGCCGAACTCTTCTCCAACAGTTGCATCGAATCACTCGGTACATTTTCATATTGCATTGCTAGTCTGTTAGCCACAGTCGCAGTGTTAGTCGCTTACATAATGGATTTTCAATCTCTAACCAATTCTATTTAGGGTGATAACAAGCGTGGTTTCGGCGAAAGTTTCCTGACTCGACCAATTTGCGTTCAATCGTTTGAATTGCCCGGGAAACCGCCAGCACTCGCATTATCGGATAGTTGTGGGGGTGAGTTGGGGATTTAATGATTTAACGTAGGGACTCTAAAGGATCGAATCTAAAGGAGTAGTGTAAGCTATAACTGAAAAGTACTCCGATCTTCAGGCGTCTACCTAACAAGCGCCGATGGAGAAGTCACCGAGCATATTCTCATAAAGAACTCATCTGCTTCGTCAGTGGCCGTGGATGAAAAGAATTCGGTATTTTCAGTCGAAATCTTTTTTGCGTACTGTGCTCACTCGTAAACGCGCATTAGCACATTGGATTCTGAGATTTTTGCCGATTTTCTATTGATATGGAAAAAGGTATGCAAAAACGCGACACTTTTTGATAAAAGATCGAAAGAAAAGATTGATAAAAGTTAAAAGCTCGAAATTTGAAAATAAAACGACAGTGGAGAACGACAAAAAAACAAAAAAACAAAAAAACAAAAAAACAAAAAAACAAAAAAACAAAACAAAAAAACAGAAAAATAACAAAAAAAACCAAAAACAAATGAAAAAAATGAAAAATGCTTTGTCTTTTCATCAATTTATACCTAGATTACCGTAGTTTCGACGGAAAAGTGTCTGACTACGGTATTTGACACATTTTAGAAAACACAGAAACCCCCCAAACGTCTATAAGTGTACTTTTGTCTTTAACTTTTTATAGATTTATCCAATTTGTATGATTTTGATGTCAATCAATAGGAAATGTTCTCACGCGTCGATTGACATCAAAATCATGCAGGTTCAGCGATTAAATGAGTCTATGAAGAGTTAAAAGTACTTTGTACACCTATGGACGGGGGACTACTGTCCAGGTATCGTTTAGTCTGTGGTACGATACTGTGGTAGCCTTTTAAATGCTAATTTTGACTACCTACCGTGCCTTAAATTACCACAAAAAAACAACAAAACAAAAAAAACAAAAAAAAACATAAAAAACAAAAACAAATAAAAAAATGATTATTTTTCGTCTTTTCAACAATTTATACCCAGATTACCGTAGTTTCGACGGAAAAGTGTCTGGCTACGGTATTTGACACATTTTAGAAAACACAGAAACCCCCCAAACGTCTATAAGTGTACTTTTGTCTTTAACTTTTCATAGATTTATCCAATTTGTATGATTTTGATGTCAATCGATAGGAAATGTTCTCACGCGTCGATTGACATCAAAAACATGTAAATTAAATAAGTCTATGAAGGGTTAAAAGTACTTTTTACACCTATAGACATTAGGGTGGCTAATGTCCAAGCACCTCTCCGTAATTCGGAGATGTAGGGGACTCTAGAGCACTGTAGGGGACTCTAGGGAACATTTCCTATCGATTCACATCAAAATCATACAAATTGGATAAGTCGATGAAAGCCAAAAGCCCTTTTTTTACATCTATAAATGCTAAAAGCACTTCTTTTGCATCTATAAACACCAAAAGCCCTTTTTTTACATCTATAAACACCAAAATCACTTTGTACACTTATGCATTAGATACCGCGCGTTTACGAGAGCACAAAGTAGACTTAGATTTGTTTATTATATGTAGATTCTTCTAGATAATGTACGTCTCAGTGATGACGGCGAAAGGTCGATCGATTCACGTTTTCGATATGGCTAAAGGGAATAAAAAGCTCGATGTAAGGCTTAGAGATTGGATTTCAATAATTAGACAATTTAAATAGTCAAAGTTTTAGGCGATTCCCTGTCCAAAGGACCCGAAAATCGAGTTGAGTCGAACGCGGTGGATTACAGGTGAAAATAATCAATCTAGAATTACTTTATGGTACTGCAGGGTACTGTAGAATTGCAGAGTACTAAGGCGAGTTACTGTAGATAGTCTAAGGATTGCTAAGTAGTTCTAAAGCTGGGTAAAGTACTAAAGTTTTCTCTAGATTTCTAAGAAGAAGCTAAGAAGTTAATCTAGAGATTACTGTAACTGATATAGGGATTACTGTTCTGTAGAAAGTACTGTACTGTAGAAAGTATTGTTCTGTAGAAAGTACTGTTCTGTAGAAAGTAATGTACTGTAGAATTAAGGCTATCAAAAGGTTAAAAATGAACTTTCAGTTGGCCCAAGGGGTCACCTTTTCATGACGAGCGGTGACAACATCAAATCGGCTCTCTGGGTGTATATGAGATCAAGAAAGGTGTGGAGATTTAAGACTTAAAAGACTTAAGATTTAAAATTCCATCAATTCCATCTAAAGCTTTTCTATTATCCAGCCAAACTTGTTTTTATTCTAGGCCTGGAAAACGTTAAAAGAATCGCGCAAATCGAGATATCAATATCTGAGTGTGGCTGAGGATCAATCTGAGTACAAGTGAGTGAGAAAGAATGAAAGGATAGGTACTTATCCATTCAATAGCTTCCATAGAGAACCGCCAGGGAATATTGTAGCCGCTGTAAGGGGTACTGTAACTGTTGTAAGGCTGTGATAGTTGACCTAGAGATTCAGGACTACTCTAGATAATCTAGAGTTTACTGTAAGTGATTCAGGATTACTCTAGATGATCTACTGTTATACTGTAAGGGCTTAGGGAGTACTGTAGCTGTGCATGGTACTGCAGGGTTACTGTACTTGATTTATGGATATGACAAGCTAGAGAAAGGGTTACTTTAGCTGTTGTAAGCGTTTTAAATCCCCATTCTCAATCTCATTTTTTTTCCAGAGCTGTCGTCTTGTTGACATGCGATGCGGCGAACAATCGTCTCCTCCTTTTCGTTGTCGACAGTCAATTGTCGTTGATCAATGAATACGATTTGAGTGTCACTTATCATCTAAATGATTATATTTCATCACCAGCTAGTGCCATTGTTGACAAGGTTGGTGAAAAGAGTGCCGTAGCTACTGTAGGGAGACTGTAACTGATCTAGAGAGTGCTACAGCTGCTGTAGAGGTACTGTAGCTACTGTAGGAGGACTGTAACTGTTCTAGAGAGTGCTACAGCTGCTGTAGAGGTACTGTAGCTGCTGTAGGAGGACTGTAACTGATCTAGAGTGCTACAGCTGCTGTAGAGGTACTGTAGCTGCTGTAGGAGGACTGTAACTGATCTAGAGTGCTACAGCTGCTGTAGAGGTACTGTAGCTGCTGTAGGAGGACTGTAACTGATCTAGAGTGCTACAGCTGCTGTAGAGGTACTGTAGCTACTGTAGGAGGACTGTAACTGTTCTAGAGAGTGCTACAGCTGCTGTAGAGGTACTGTAGCTGCTGTAGGAGGACTGTAACTGATCTAGAGTGCTACAGCTGCTGTAGAGGTACTGTAGCTACTGTAGGAGGACTGTAACTGTTCTAGAGAGTGCTACAGCTGCTGTAGAGGTACTGTAGCTGCTGTGGGAGGACTGTAACTGATCTAGGAGTGCTACAGCTGCTGTAGAGGTACTGTAGCTACTGTAGGAGGACTGTAACTGTTCTAGAGAGTGCTACAGCTGCTGTAGAGGTACTGTAGCTGCTGTAGGAGGACTGTAACTGATCTAGAGTGCTACAGCTGCTGTAGAGGTACTGTAGCTGCTGTAGGAGGACTGTAGCCGATCTAGAGAGTACTGTAACTGATCTAGAGAGTACTACAGCTGCTGTAGAGGTACTGTAGCTGCTCTAAAGCCTAGTGCAGCTCCAGGGAATATCGTAGCTGAATCTAGATCTAGATCTAGATCTAGATCCAGATCTACAGTAGTCTAGGTTATCTAGATCTAGAGTACTGTAGCTATATAATCCATCCACTTCTTTAGCAAGGCCACTTGCTAGTGTTGGACTACGCGAATGGCAAAGTGCAGATTTTGTTGAGCGGGGAAAAAGGAGTGAGACGATTGAAAGAAGTCACCTTCGCCGATCCACTTCTCCCACAACAAGCACTCGGAATCACTGTTCTCGTGGGTTTTTTTCAATAAATAGACTGATCCAGGGTTACTGTAGCCGTTCAGAATCTCTTAAACTTGTTCATTATCCAAACCTCTCCAATTGCAGGGTGATTACGTGTACGTAGCGTGTTTCCACACGCATGAAGTCCGCTGCACTCGATATTTAGAGAACGGGAAATTCCGGTAAGTTCATTTAGCTTAAAATAGACAATCTTAAATCAAAGACAAATCTTAAAAATCTTGAATTTTTTTAAAACAGATGATTCAAAGGTTTGTTTGAGTGCCCAAAGCTTCAAGTGTTCTGAATTTTGTCGGCTTTCTTTTAGGCCAAAATTCCCAAACAGCTCGCCACTTTTTCCCATTAGCAAACTAACTTTAATCTCAAATTTCTTAAAGAACAATTGTCTGATTGAAAGAATTTTGATAGCATTAAATGATTCAAATGGTTTGTATCATTCAATTCATCAAGTCTTCTTCTATCAATTGATACAAAAATTGTTTCAATTGAACAATTGTACGCAAAGAAATTCAAGTTTAAAGTTTGGTTTTCAATGGGAAAAAGGAGTGGACAATCCAGAAATTCAAATCATTTCTAAAATCATGTCTAAAAGCTGTGATTCCAGTCAATTCCACCCACAAATGGCTCTTCTCGATCAAACAAATCCAAAACCGAAAGCCGTGCTCGCGAACGGGAAAAGCCCAATGAATGAGAGGAGAGCGAATTCCGTGCCCCGACCACCGAATACAAATATTTATAGTAAAGATCCCCATCATGTTGATTTCGGGGGATCGATGTCGAAATTAAAAAAATAATGAATGGATTGGGGAGTTGAGTCTGATTCCGAGATAAAAAAATGATAATCTGATTCCGAGAGTCCTCAAAAGCGGCAATTTCCAACAAGAGATCGAAATTCCTGAATAAAACGACAATGGCTAAAACAGAGAATGATTTTTTCCAATCTTTTCACCAATTTATACCCAGATTACCGTAGTTTCGACGGAAAAGTGTCGAAATGGCGTAAAAGTGTCTGGCTACGGTATTTGACACATTTTAGAAAACACAGAAACCCCCCAAACGTCTATAAGTGTACTTTTGTCTTTAACTTTTTATAGATTTATCCAATTTGTATGATTTTGATGTCAATCAATAGGAAATGTTCTCACGCGTCGATTGACATCAAAATCATGCAGGTTCAGCGATTAAATAAGTCTATGAAGAGTTAAAAGTACTTTGTACACCTATGGATGGGGGACTACTGTCCAGGTACCGTTTAGTCTGTGGTACGATACTGTGATAGCCTTTTAAATGCTAATTTTGACTACCTACCGTGTCTTATATTACCACCGAGATTTTAAAGTATACCACTTATATTACCACCGAGATTGCCCTGACTCAACTCTGCAATGGAAATCCTAGTGATCTGTACTTTGTACTCCGAAACGCAACTTTCCTGGCACACTGAATCCCTTATTTTTATCGCTTTTAGGTACAGCTAATGTCAAAAAAAAACTAAAAAACAAATCTAACCTAGTGTGCCAGAAGATGAGCGTTTAGCTGAATAGAAAGTACACTTTCTGATTGTTTTTATTTCTTTTCTTTTCATCCAAATTCCATAAGTTATTCGATGAAATCTCCTGATTGACTAAAATTTTAAGGTTGTGCTTTTTCTTTTAAATTTTCGTTTAACTTTTTTAGAAATCCTCCCCCACACTTCCACCAAATGAACATTTTCACTTAAACTTTTTCTTTTCGTACAAAATTTTATCGAAATTTCATTTTCAGCCTTATATTCGATTCCTCTCGCAGAAATTCTTCACACCCCATTTCGCCTTATTCGAGAAATGCTCACTTTTCTTTGATTCATTGTAATTTTAAAGTTTAGATAAGTTTTTTTAATCTTTTCTGGTGATAAAACAATTCTATCAAACAGACAATTCAATTTTTTCTCGAAAACTGCACTTAGAAATACATTCTAGAGCGACTACAGCGACTAATTTATTCAAAAGCAAACTTTTTCTTTAGTTTTTATTGGTTTTAACCATTTGAAAATTTAACAGCAAAACGAAACAA